ACCAATCTATAGTATCAAAATAAANAACACAAGGAAAAAATATTCATTCCATTGGCAAAACTACTTGATAATGTTAACATGATATTACCAATCTATAGAATCAAAATAAATAAGTAAATAAACTCCACAAAAATTATTAATCAATCCTTCATGTAAATAAATAATTACTCATTCTTCTTCTATGTAATTTAAGTGAGATTCACTTTTTTTATTTAATGTTTTATTATTGATTAGTGATATCACGTCAGCATTGCTAACATAGTTTTAGGGGTGTTTGTAGGTCAGGCCAGGCTAGGCCCGTGAGTTTTTTTTTTGGGCCGGGCCTGAGTAGTGTAAGTTCAAGTCCTTACCCAAGTGAGTAATTGGGCGGGGCGGGGGCAGGCCGGACTTCGGGTAGGGGTAGGCTACCTGCAGTCCAATCCGTAAGCCTATTGGACGGGCCTACTTACAGGCTTTTTTATATACATATTTATTTAAAAATAATGAATATTTTTGTAACTTAATATTTGTGTAAATTATATTTTTAAATCAAAAATAAAGTCAAAATAGATAAAAATAAAATAATGAACCACATTCAATAGAATGAATAAATCTCAACTAGGTTGACACTTACTAACTTATCAGTCGTTTGGATTACTCTATCATTTAAAACTTATATGCTTAATATATGGAAAAATAATAATATATTATTTATAATATCTAAATTTTTAAAACTTCAAATTTCGATATTGGAAGACTTGTTTTAAATTTTTAAATTTAATAGTCTAAAAATATAACTTTTTTTCAAAAGGAAGGGTGGGTGGGTTGGTTGGGCTGGACGGGCGGGCTCTTGGGCCGGGTAATGGGTTTAGGGGTAACTCCAGTCCTCTTTTTAAGAATATTGGGCTCGAGCGAGCCAACTATTGGGCTTCGGGCCTATTTTTTTGGGCCGGATAATGGGACCCATGGGTAACCCAACCCATGGACACCNCCTCTTTTTAAGAATATTGGGCTCGAGCGAGCCAACTATTGGGCTTCGGGCCTATTTTTTTGGGCCGGATAATGGGACCCATGGGTAACCCAACCCATGGACACCCCCACATAGTATCATCGTTGCATTCAATATTTACTCAACCCCAAAAAAAAAAAAAATGTTAGAAATATAAGAAGAAAATAAAACCTATGAGAAAGTTCCAGTTGGGTTGGTTTTCCAGTATAGAGAAGATACAAGTTGAACTTTCTTCTTTGATAAAAAAAAAGTTGAATTTTTTTCCATTGACCAAAAAAAAAAAAAAAATCTAAGTTTTATTTGTTCCCTAAGTGGGCAATCCAACAATTTTTAAAGTGGTCCTAATGTTAAATTAGATCGGACTGAGATTGATGGTGATGTAGAGACATTGATACTTAAACCTACCAACAATTCATGATTATTATTTTTTTTCAATATCTTTTGGGTGATGGATTAATTTTTTTAAAAATTTTACAATTACATTTTAGAACAGCATTGAAAAACAATAGAATACCATACAAATCCAATATATCAAGTGAAAATCAATTTTTTTTTCTTGAAAATTTTCAACATGTATGACAAAGAAAATGGGTTAAATTTTGACCCAAAAAAAAAAAAAAACAATCCTATCTCACACAATGGGTCAATTCATGAATCTCACACAATGTTAGATTCATATATTTCCATACTACATCTAAAAGATCTTTAAAAAAAAGTAACATTCAAGGTTTTTATCCATTAATATGAGCACACCCCGAATCCGACTTGATACGAAGTCGCAAATGGCAGAACAAATGAGTATGAATACTAGATGAATCGACTTATTCTTAGAGATACTAATACCATAGTTTCTGATTTTTGGCTTTTATGAACCGGACAAAAATTCAAAAAAAGACATAATTTAAATTAACTTTGATAGCAATGGAAAAATTTGAATCGACTAGATTGATGACTTTGATAGCAATGGAAAAATTTGAAAATTTGATTATTGAATAGATCGCCATTTATTAATCAAGAATCCGAGTATAGTTATTCTCTAATTTTCAAATAAATAGAGCGGTGAGAGCAAATAGGATAAACTATACTTTGCACTCCAAAAGATTATCAAATTCTCAATTTACATCTTAAAAGATTAAAAATCTCCCATTAAATCTCACATTTACTTTTTTTTGATAATATTTGCCATATTACATAATTTTTATACATAGTAGTTTACATAATGCTAAAATTTATGTGTTTTTAATTAAAAAAAATAATATTTATTTTTTAAGAAATAGAGTACATTCCCATCTTCTCTTTATTAAAAATTCAATATATAAATTTTAACAATTAAAAATATAAATTAAAAACACGAATATCTTTCCAAATACAAAGTGTAATTTCAACTTTAAAGAACTACACACGTATTAGAATTGAAGACCGAGTGCCCCTAGCAATAAAAACTCTACATAAAAGAAACGAACCAGCATATAAATTTTCTTGAAATTAAGCACATTACTATATTTTTATTTTATTGATAATCCAACATATAAATTTTAATCTTTAAAAGTATAAATTAAAAATACAAAAAAAAAATAAAATTCAGAATGCAATTGTGTCATTTACCTTTTTTTTTTGTCAAACACTATTACAAGAAAGAGAACTGACAAAATTCGCAACTGCGACTTGAGATCTAAAATGACCATTAACTGAATCACTAACCTCATATTTAATTTAAACTTTAGGAGTGATTTAAGTGGTTGAACTTGATTTTTGGTAACTCAAACGTCTTAAATTTAATTTTTTTCTATACTCCCAAATAAGGGTGACAATTTTTGACACAACACGAAAACACGACTCGAACTCGACTTGAAATTAGTGGGTTAAGACTGATTATTTTTCAACATAAACCTATAAATGACACGACTCGTTAACACGAATAATAAATGGGTGGATTATTGTTAAACACGAACAATACGAAATTGATATGATTAACACGTTTAACTAATATTATAGAAATAAAATGCTAATTATTTATTAAACATTGACATAAATATTATATAAAAAAGACATTTTTACTCATTATTATTTTTATACCTATAAAAAAGACATTTTTACTCATTATTATTTTTATACTTATTAAGTTAATTTTTGATTTATAAAAAAAGTATGAACATAAATTCAATTAATTGATAATAAAATTTTAGACTTAAATATTAGCATTAAATTCTTTAGTCAAAGTTTATATGGGTCAATACGAACAAAACATAAACTCGATACGAAAATAAACAAGTTAATCGACACGACATGAGTACTCGACAATAACTCATAATAATACGAGACGAATCTCGTACGAAGACACAACACAACACAATTATCAACTCTATTCCTAAAAATTAATCACCTACTCAGAAAGAATATTGGGTGGTGCATGGACACTAACAAAAAAAAAAAACCTCCTATTTAACTTTAGTAACTTCAACTTTAAAGAACGCGTATTAGAATTAAAGAAGGCCGCCAACAAGAGCCGCGTGTGGGATGCGGATGTAAATTATTGAACCAACGAAGGGCATTCCTGTCAATCCATCTCACACCCCCCGATGGTTTACCATAACTCTCTCTCCCTCTCCCTCTCCCTCTCCCTCTAATGGTTTTGCATGATTATATATATATACATACACGACCACCACTTAGATATATATAGTCCTCGCTTTAAGTCTCTCCGTGTTTTGTTCCTCATCATTGCTTGTCTAAACCTCTCTCTCTCTCTCTCTCTCTCTCTCTCTCTCTCTCTCCTGAAGTCAAGTTCTTTCTCTCTTGCTCTCTCTCTCTCTCGATTGTTCTTGATCTGAATACAACTTGTAAGTTTGATCCAACTCTCTGATGATTATTCAGTTAATTAAGTGTTAATGGTACCAAATTTAATCTGTGTTGCATTGAACATGGTTTTTTGGGGGTCGGGGTATTCTTAAATGAGGCTAGATCTGTTGGTAAATGTGCTGAATTCCCATATCTTGAATTCTATTAACGTTAGCCTATCCAAACGCACTGCTTAATGTGATCTAGATCTTTTATGAATAATATGTATATATGTTTTTGCGGCTGTTGTTATTGATCTCATGTGTATATGTTTTTTTTAGTTTGTTGATAATCGGGTATTGGATTATGGTTACTTTCTGCATATTGTATTGGATCTGAGAATATCATGCTGATCAAGATGGATTACTTCTAAAATTTAATTGTATACCGCTTGGGTATGTTGGTTATATCTCTTTTTTATAAGTATGTTAAGGAACATTAGTTAATCATTGGCTATGTTTTTCACTGTTATATGATTTTGTCGGTGGCTGCATTTATGAAAATGCTGTACTTGGAACTGATTTTCCCCCTAAATTTCATACTTTATACTATTGTAATGGTATGTTCTTCCTTTTTTTTTGGGCCCCGGGGGGGGTTGGGGGGGGGGGGG